AGTGTTACATTGCTAGCATGTGAGATGAGTGCTATTGTGCAGTACTTTGAACGTTCTTTGGCATTGCCTTTCTTTGGCATTGCCTACTTACAAAAGTTAACATGCAATAACATATCAGTATATAAGCTTGGAAAGAGACAACAGCAGCTGGATACATTTTGAGTAGACATTTTATTATTCAGAAGTGCACTCCCCTTATCTGAGCTTATCAACTAGAATAGACAGGAACTGGCCCTCATAACGCAGAGTCACAGAAGAAGTTGAAAGGCGTTGTTGATTCATTCATCCAGCCTGACTGGTTACAATGTAGCAGACCAAGTTCTGATCTAGATCACTGCTCAAAAAAACTGAAATTTGTCATTCTTTTCCCCTCCCTCCCATCTCCTTCTCCAACCCCAGAATCTGTACCCTCTTCCCAAATGAGGGGAATTTCACACTTGATGATCTTGGTAGAAGGCAGGCACCTTCCTCCATTAGACAGAAAACCTTGCTTCCTAAGTATTCCTGCAGGTAGAAAGAGGCTGAGGCCCCACCAGGCAGGTGACCACGTGCTGGACTCTTATTAGGACATGGTGCCGCAGAGAGACGGGAACCGCACCGGATGCTTTAGGCACACGGCATGCGTGGCAGAGGCGGCCGTGTGTCGTCCAGGCGTCAGAGCAGCAGAGAGCAGGTCTAGTCACGGGGTCCCTTGTCCAGCATTAGGGCTGACAGCATGTGAACAGTGGTGTCTGTGCTCACCTGAGGGGAAGGGAATCCTGTGTGGGACCCGACCCGGGTGGGGTGAGGAGTCTGTTCCTGGCTGTGCTTCAGGGCTGGTCAGCGGTTTTCCCTGAAATAAACCCAAAACCACAAGTGTGCTTTTTTTTGTTCCTTTTAGAACGATTTGAAATCTTTTTTTCCCCCACCCAGAACTACCTAAGAATACATGGAGGGAAATCTCAGAGACCAGGGATTCAGAGACTTTTCCTTCTGCTTTATTATGATTGATATACAATATTGAGTCAGTTTATGGTGCACAGTTGTTGATTTGATACATTTCTGTACTGCAAAATAATCACCACCATAGCTTTATCTGACAACTGAATCATGTCACATAATTACCTCTTCTGCATGTGTGGAGAAAATTTAGATCTACTCTCTTAGCAAGTCAGAGACTCTCTTTATGGTGAGCTGATAATCACTTCCTAAATTTTCAGCCTGGTGATAGCACACGGAAGAAACAACATGTAACTCACGCCTAATGTTTTGTCTTTTTCCTCTTAGGAAAAAAACGTTTAAATGTGTGTTTAAGACCCCTCCCCACCTTAATCATTCTCTGATCTTTAATGTCAATGGATCCCAGTCTGCTCAGGACTGCTTGTAGAGATTGTTAAAAAATACTCAGGACTCTTCCCAGATCCACCACCTCAGAGTGTAGGGCACGGAGTCCAGGAATCTATTATGAACAAGCCATACAGGGGAGGCTGGTGCGCGGCCAGGTGGGAATCCAGATCTGTGTTCTTGCTCTGAAATGTGTGGTCTAAAGATCAGCACCAACTGTGCTATAAGTCTATTCCAGACCTTCTGTCTCTAAGGGGAGTGCAGGTGAAGGACATTCCTCCATGTCCTTCAGGACCCTTTCCATGTGCCATCTAGACACGGTGTCAGAATGGTGCCATCTGCTCAGGGGGATTCACGATTCAGTCCTCATCCTTCTGCTTCTGTAGCCAATTCTCCCCTCATCTGTGACCTCATCTGTTCTCAAGTCTTTAAACATCAGTTATATAGCGTCACCTCTTCCATCTATTTCTCCAGTCGAGTCATCTCACCTAAACCCTAGATGAGTAAACCCAACTCAGTTGCCACTTTCCTAAACCAAATGCTGATGGTGATGCCTCCTCAAACATGCTCCTTCCAGAGTCCCCTCATTTCCACAGTAGGCACCCCACATGCTCACTTGCAAATCTCAAATTTTGGTGTCCTCCTTCACTCTTTCTCATAACTCAGATTTAATCCCCTAGGAAGTGCTGTAAATGCATTTTCAGAATAGATCACAAATCCACTCACTCACCATCATCTTCCCTGCTCACACCCCAGACAAGCACCAGCATCCCCACCCTGGACTCTGCACTGTTTACTACAAGCTCCTCTATCCCTCCCTCGACCTTCACCTCCTGACTCTGCACAGCAGCCTGACTGATGCTTCTAGATAGCAGTCACACCAGGTCTTCCTCTGTTCAAGTCATCCTATAACTCTATAGCTTACTGAGATAAAATCAACACCCTTCTAACATCCTGGAGGCCCACAGGATCTGGCGGGACATGGGATCTCAGGGCAATCCCTTTCCCTTCAGCCACAGCTGCCTCCTGGCTCTCCTTTGAACACAGACACTCTCCTGCCCTCGTGTATTTGCACTGGAGGCTCCACTGCCTGGAGAGAACCTCCCCTAGATGTCCTTGTGGACATTCCTTCATTCTTCACATCTTTACTTAAGGGTCACCTTTTCAAAGAGGCCCACTGTCCACCCTAGTACCACAGCCACCTTCCCTTCCCCACACACTTATAGTCTGGGTCACTGCACTCAGAGCACTTACCAACCTGTAAGGGAAACACTTCCCTCACTTACTAGGCTGATAGTACATGCTCTGCCCCTTCTCCCTAGAACACACTGCACATACAGACAAGGTTTGTCTGATGCTAGTTCACTGAGTTCTCCTAGATGCAAAAATATTGTGTCATGTTTCTGTCACACAACAGATATCAGTTCAATGAATGGTCAGTGTAAAGTGCTTCCCTACTCTAGAGATAGTGTCTTTATTGATGTGGTCTCACACCGCACGCTGTCTCGTGGCAGTTACAGCACAACATCCATTTGCACTGACCTCAATGCGGCCTGCATTTTACTTACAAATGCTGATCTCCCTTCCCTCCCACACCAATCAACCTGCACACCACACACAAGGCTCTTTATCTCTTCAGAAAGGAAGATCCTTCGCTTCCAGCTCCTATATTCAACCTGCTGTGATTTTATTAGACTCTGCTTTCTAAACCCATGAGTTGAGATGGGAGCCAACAGTAGCCTTAGAAGATGCAAGGGCAGAAGAGGGGACAGACAGCAGAGATGAGAGAAATCCAGCAAGGATTAAGTCAAGATATGAAACTATTGGGTCCCTCCTCTTTGCAAGTTCCAGCATGTGGTTCCTTTAAAAAGATGGAGAAAAGTTGGAAAGGAGAATCCAGCAAAATCTCTAAAAGGAGGGCAAGAGCTGGATGACTCTGAAATTTCTCTCTTGGAACCACTGAGAATCCTGTGTGCACAGACCCCTTGGAGTTGTGGGGACAATGACAGGCAAGGTGACCCTTGCTGCTGTCAGAGATGGGGTCACCCGGAGAAGAATGAGATCAGGACTCTACACATGAAGAAAACAGTTATTACACCACCACCACTAATAGAAATAACTAAATAAGCAAAATATAAACACATTAAAAAGAAGACAGGCACTAAGGATTGGGCCAAAGCCTAATCCTAGGCTGACTGTTTAAGAAACGCACCCTGCCCATGGTCCTGGACATACAACTAGGCCCAGGTGACTTCTGAGTCCATGATCACAGGTGCTTGGTGGGACGAGGATTTACTGAAGGGACAAGGACAAAGGAATGCAGAAGAGGACCAAATCCAGGAGTGACCACGGGCAGCACATGGGCAGTGCGTGCATGTCCACCAGGCTCTGGTCACTGACTGGGCACAGGCCCTGTCCACACTCAGCTCCTCACATCCTCCTCCTGTCCCTCCTGCAGCTGACTCAGCACAGCAAACATGTGGATGGATCTGGAAGGTTTTCAATGTTTCAATTTGTTTCCTCTTTCAAACTTTATGAATCCTCACTTTTATTATCTGATCCCCTTTCATGGCACTAATTAGAAAAAACAAATTCATATACACAGACTTTATTTTCAGTAAGGAAATATGACATCATTACTCAGTGCACATGAAGCAGACACGGATTGAGACAGCCCAGCCTCGTTTCTGCTGGAGCAGGACAGTGGATGAGGCAGCAGAACACAGGTCAGGGTGGGGACAGGCCGTGGTGGGCAGGGTTGGCCAGTTTCCCCACCTCCTCATGTTGTGCTAATAGGAGCACAGACACACTCAGATGCAGCTGCAGAAAGAGGAGTCTGGGATCTGACGTCACAAAGTGGGACCGAGCATCACTCAGTCCCCACTGGCAGCTGTCTCACACTGTGAGAGAAAAGAATCAGGAACCAGCTCCGGTCAGTCATGTAAGCACTCACATTCTCTACAGCCCCTCGCCAACATGCTCGCATGTCACACTCAAAGATCCTCACCACCCTGTGTCCCCTCTGCCTCAATCCCCCTTCCAATCTAGACCCTCCAGGGTCTCACCTTTAGGAACCGTGAGAGACACATCAGAGCTCTGGGCACTGTCACTGCCTGGAGGAGAACAAGACCAGGATGTGGTCAGAACCCACTGGACAGAAACTAGAGAAGGAACTTTGAGGAGGGTGAGCCCCCTAGGGCCTCTATCTGCACCCTCACAAGGGTCTCAGGAATCATCCCCTTCATACTTACTTGCAGCCTGGGTGTAGATCCGTCCTTTTTCACCTGTGAGAAGAAAATATCACATGAGAGGCCAGGAAGAAGGCTGAGTCATGTACCCTAGAAGAACCCCTAGTCCTGGACCCCAGAGAACTTTCTGGAACTGTGGTCAAAACTTATGATAGGATCAGGAACACAGAGAAGGGAAATGTGTAAGGACTGGGCCATCTGCCCTTCTGGAGGTCTGTCCTCAGCAAGGAGCTCCCTTCTGACCTTCAAGTGCTGGAAACCTGGTCCCCAACAGGAATTAGGAAGGTGAAAAATTTCTCTTTCATTTCCACACATGCTTTAGTAAAGCAAAATGTTAGCATCAGCTCCATACTCCATGCATGTGTGGAGGGTACTTTCCAGTAACCAGGCAGGTAAATGTCTACCTGGGCTTGAAACCCCCAGTGAGACAGGAAAACTCAGATCCCTCCCTCCCTTCCCTACCTGAGTGCTTCTTCCTCCAGATCACAGCTCCAGCCACCAGAGCCACCATGAGGAGAACCAGGCCAACAATGATGCCCACGGTGAGGAAGGAGGTCTGAGGAGGTTCTGTGGAGGAGAGGGAAGAGGCCCTGACCTCAGTCTTGAGTCCTGACCTTGCTGAACTGAGTCCTGAAGGGTTCCTGCTTTATCTAAGAGGATGCTCCATCCCATCTCCCTCCTTACCCCATCTCAGGGTGAGGGGCTCCGGAAGCCCCTCGTGCTGCACACGGCACATGTATCTCTGCTCCTCTCCAGAAGGTACCACCAGGGTCGCCCACTTCTGGAAGGTTCCATCCCCTGAAGGCCTGGTTTCCATAAGCTCCATGTCCTGGGTCTGGTCCTCCCCACTGTGCTGCCAGGTCAGTGAGATCTCTTCAGGGTAGAAGCCCAGGGCCCAGCACCTCAGGGTGACCTCAAGGTTAGAGATGGGGTGACGGGTCACATGTGCCTTTGGAGGGTCTGAGGAAGAATCAGAAAATTTACAGTTTGTGTTACCTCCATGGGTCACTGAAGCAGCATCATGTGACCATCCTGAGAAAGGACAGAACACTGATTTTTTCCCCAGCTTTACTGAGGTATACTTAACAAAAACTGTACACATTTAAAGTGTACTACATGTTGCTTTGATATATATGTACATTGTGAAGGTAATGTATTCATCAACTTACCTTATGTGTGTGTCTGTTTGACAGGGGTGATGAGAATGATTAAGATCAATTTTAAAGTACACAATACAGGATTATTATTAACTATAGTCACCAGGCTGTACATCAGATCTCCAGATGTATTATGAACTTTTTTACCCTCTGAGCTATGGAACATCCAAGACCATGGTGTTGAAAAAAGCAGCACAAGAGCTAGATAACAGCCTCAAATGAGAGATCAGGGATGATCTATATTAGTCCTTGGAAATTTCTAGAATGAGAGACTAGGATAGGAGCTCTAAAAGTGTCAGGGGGAGAATACAAACTGGTGGAGGCTGAATGACTCAGAAAAGCTGGAGTCAGGCCTCCTTAGATGCTCTCAGGGTGAGAACATGTCTTGAGAGAGAAAGTCATGGATCACAAAATGGTGGCCAAGGTCAAAGGGCATTGCTGACCAGCTATTTCAGGGATGGCTTGTTTCCTGCTTCTTCCTCAAAGACACTGGATTCTTTAATTGTCCTTCAGAGCAGTAGGGTCACTGGTGACTGTCTTGTACAGAATATGAAAACCTGGGCGGATTCCTTGCTCTCCTGACAAGAACCTGGGGCGCTGTTCCCACAGGGACCCCATTTTCCTCTCCTCGTGGGAAGCCAGCTCCAGCCCGAGGGGAGATCAGGGAGGCCCCGCGCCCCTCGTACCTGCGCGCAGCAGCGTGTCCTTCCCGTTCTCCAGGTATCTGTGGAGCCACTCCACGCAGCGGCCCTCCAGGTAGTTCCTGCTGTGATCCGCCACACCGCCTTGCTCCCACTTGCGCTTGGTGATCTGAGCCGCCGAGTCCGCCGCGGTCCAGGAGCGCAGGTCCTCGTTCAGGGCCATGTAGTCTCTGCCGTCGTAGGCGAACTGATCAAACCCGCGGAGGAGGCGCCCGTCCGGCCCCACGTCGCAGCCGTGCATCCACTGGAGGGTGTGAGACCCTGACCCGCCCCGACCACCCGCGGTGATTAAACCCAAACTGAAAATGAAACCGGGTCAAGCCCCGCCGGCTCCTCCCGGGTCGGGGTGCCAGGTGTGTTCCGTAGTGTTGGGGTGACCCTCGGACCCGCAGACTCGGGGCGACCCCGCCGGTCCCTGGGGGTGGGGGCCGTGACCTGGACCCGGGCCCGCGTCGCTCACCGGCCTCGCTCTGGTTGTAGTAGCCGCGCAGGGTGTTCAGGCCCACTCGGAAAAACTGTGCGGCGTCCTTGACTTTCTGCGTCTCCTGATCCCAATACTCGGGCCCCTCCTGCTCTACCCACCGCGCCCGCGGCTCCATCCTCGGATTCGGGGCGTCGCTGTCGAACCGCACGAACTGCGTGTCATCCACGTAGCCGACGGCGATGAATTGGGGCTCCCCGAGACCGGGCCGGGACACGGCGGTGCTGAAATACCTCATGGAGTGGGAGCCTGGGGGCGGGGAGGCGTGAGACTCGGGCCGACCTCCTCCCGGCGCGGGTCCCGGGTCCCAGGTGATGGGGTCGGGAGGGCGGAGGGGGCGGAGGGCCAGTGAGATAGAAGAGGTCGAAAACCGGCCCGATCTTCGAAAGCGGTAGAAAGGAGGGGTCGGGAAGCAAGGGAGGGACAGGCCGGGACCCGGGAGGCGGCGGGTCTGGGCAGGGGCGTCGGGGTCGCTCCGTCCCTGGGTTACTGCCCCCCCAGACTCCCGGGCGGTCCCCTCGCCCCTCCCCGCAGAGGCCGTTCCCTCCCGACCCCGCACTCACCAGCCCGGGTCTCGGTCAGGACCAGGACCCCCGAAAGGAGCAGGAGAAGGGTTCGCGGACACATGACTCGCAGCCTCTGGGTTTGGGAAGAAGCAGTCTGGGCGGGTCGGTGGAGACTTTATAACCGGGATCCGCAAAGACGCTGATTGGTTTTTCTAGAAACCGGGCACCCAGTGGCAGTGAGGACTGGAGCCGCATCACGAGTGTCCAGGCAGCAGGGCTAAACACAGGTTGTGAGAGAGAAAGTGAAACTGGGGGAGACGGGGAATCCCCAATATGGAGCGTCCCAGCCCCAGACTCCGCCCTTTACCCTGAGATCCTGAGCGGCTTGAGCTCCAGGGACCTGGGACTTTGCCCTGATCCCTCCCCTCCTGCTAGGTAGAATGTTCAAACTACCCAATAATTGCACTCATCTGGCACGCTAGCAAAGTAATGCTTAAAATTTTCCAAACCAGGCTTCAGCAGAACCTGAACCCTTAACTTCCAGATGTTCAAGCTGGATTTAGAAGAGCCAGAGGAGCCAGAGATCAAAGTGCCAACATCCCCTTGATCATGGAAAAAGCAAGAGAGAAAACATCTACTTCTGCTTTATGGACTATGCCAAAGCCTTTGACTGTGTGGGTCAAACCAAATAGTGGAAAATTCTTCAAGAGATGGGAATACCAGACCACCTGACCTGCCTTCTTGAGAAAACTGTGTGCAGGTCAAGAAGCTACAGTTAGAACTGGACTTAGAACAAAAGACTGGTTCCAAATTGGGAAAGGAGTACGTCAAGGCTGTATATTGTCACCCTGCTATACTCCATACTGTCACCCTACATTTAACTTACATGTAGAGTACATCATGTGACATGCTGGGCTGGATAAAGCTCAAGCTGGAATAAAGATGGCCCAGAGAAATATCAATGACCTCAGAATGCAGATGACACCACCCTTATGGCAGAAAGCAAAAAGGAGCTAAAGAGCCTCTTGAAAGTGTAAGAGAAGAGGGAAAAAGTTGGCTTCAAGCTCAACATTCAGAAAACTAAGATCATGGCATCTGGTCCCATCACTTCATGAAAAATAGATGGGGAAACAATAGACACAGTGACAGACTTTATTTTCTTGGACTCCAAAATCACTGCAGATGGTGACTTCAGCCATGAAATGAAAAGATGCTGGCTACTTGGAAGAAAAGCTACAACCAACCTAGACAACATATTAAAAAGCAGAGACATTATTTTGCCAACAAAGGTCCATCTAGTCAAAGCTATGTTTTTTCCAGTAGTCAGGTATGAATATAACAGATGGACTGTAAAGAAAGCTGGGCACTGAAGAATTGATGCTTTTGAACTTTGGTGTTGGAGAAGACTCTCGAGAGTCCCTTGGACTGCAAGGAGATCAAACCAGTCAATCTGAAAGGAAATCAGTCCTGAATATTCATTGGAAGGAGTGATGCTGAAGCTGAAGCTCCAATACTTTGGCCACCTGATGTAAAGAACTGACTCATTGAAGAAGACCCCTATGCTGGGCAAGATTGAAGGCAGGAGGAGAAGGGGATGACAGAGGATGAGATGGCTGGATGACATCACTGACTCGATGGACATGAGTCTGAGCAAGCTCCAGGAGATGGTGATGGACAGGGAGGCCTGGCATGCTGCAGTCCATGGGGTCACAAAGAGTCATGACTGAGCGACTGAACTGAACTGAACTCCCCTCTGATAGCTCTTTGTCTCCCTGTCTCCCTGAGTCCTATCTCTGGGGCTGTTTGCGATTTTGATTAACGTATCTACACAATCTTACAAATTAGTGAGGACCCTAAGGATAGTATTATGTGACCACTTCTATGCATATTTTCCATGCTACAAATAATACACTTTAAAGATTATTGGTTTTTTTTTAGAATAATATTAATAGAAAGAAAGTTTAGTCGCTCAGTCGTGTCCGACTCTTTGCAACCCCATGGACTCTAGCCTACCAGGCTCCTCTGTCCATGGGATTTTCCAGGCAAGAGTACAGGAGTGGGTTGCCATTTCCTTTTCCAGAGGATCTTCCCAACCCGGTGATTGAACAAGGGTCTCCCACATTGTAGGCAGATGCTTTACCGTCTGAGCCACCAGGAAAGTCCTAAGGGCTGGCTATTAACAACCCATGTGTTTAATATGAATAACTAGTTCCCAGAATAAACAGGGTGGTGAGAAGCATAGAGCTTTTTACATTTTTTCCAAGTATCTTTCTTGTGTCTTTCACTAGAAAACCACTGGTTTTTCAGGTTTGTGTCTGCATTGAATCTCTTATTTTGATTGACGTCTATGAAAGTGAAAAAACACACACATAGGTAGGAGTAGTGTTTTTTAATAATCTTTTCAGATAATTGTGGATGTTCATCTTGGATACAAAAGTAAAACTATACAAGTTGTAGTTTCTCAAAGGTTTTTTCCTCAGTGGACCTGAAACAATATCATTGACTATTTTCTATTCTGTTACATTAAAATCCATAAGCCTATTTTGCTCATTGAACATCTCTTGTACTAATACAAGATTTTTACAAAGTAATACATTGTTTCACTAAATTATACAGATCTTTCTGCTCATTCCTTCTTTCAAGAACAGTTGTTTTCCATGAAAAAGAGGGTAGTTCAGAGCACACAGAATTTTTTCTTGGGCCATAAGACTTTGAAATGTAGTAGAAGTGCTCGAAGTATACTTTCCATGTCATCACAGAAGATACTTTTATAATGTGTATTTAAGAATGATAATTAGGAAACAAGCATTTTTATTTACTTTATTTTTAAATTTATTTTATTGAAGGATATTTGATTTATAATGTTAATTTGTGCTGTACAGCAAAGTGACTCACTTATACATGTGTATATATATATTTTTTCGTATTTTTTTCCATTTTGGTTTATTAAGGACAGATAAGAATTTTAATGTGTCATTCTGGATGTTTTAAAGCAAACCTGATTATTGGTTTTCTTTTTTTCTACAAGAAAGATTTGGTGAAAATAATTACTAGTGCAGTTTGCTACCATAGTCCGTTACTGCTAAGCGATACATCAAAGCAAATGTCAACATAGTGAGAAGTCAAATAATATCTGAGTGATGCTATGAAAGTAGCTTTCACCTCAGGGATCTCATGAAAGGGTCTCAGTGACATCAAGGGTTCCACAGGCCACACTCTGAGAACTGCTGTTCTGAATGAACCAGGGCATCTCCCAACTGATCCCTGCCTTTGCCTCCTCTTCATTTTGGAAAATGCTTTTTCCTGAGCTGGACTCCCTACCTCCCCAAACTTAACTGAGGGCCCTGCCCCTGGGCTGCTCTAGGAGAGAACTCAGCCCCTAGAAAGTGATGCCAGAGAGTGTCCTCAGTCTGGGAAGGGAGGTGGGGGGACAGGTGTTTCCCCTTTGGAACTGGGGACAGTTTGTACCTGAAGGCGCCAGAGACACTCATAACCTACTTTGATTTTGTTACACACCAGCTTAATATGTATTCATATCCCAGACAGAAATCTGACGTAGTGTCTAAGAAAAATAATATTGGCCCTTTCATCTCATATGGAGGAGAAGGCGATGGCACCCCACTCCAGTACTCTTGCCTGGAAAATCTCATGGACGGAGAAGCCTGGTAGGCTGCAGTCCATGCGGTCGTGAAGAGTCAGACACGACTGAGTGACTTCACTTTCATTTTTCACTTTCATGCATTGGAGAAGGCAAGGGCAACCCACTCCAGTGTTCTTGCCTTGAGAATCCCAGGGACGGGGGAGCCTGGTGGGCTGCCGTCTATGGGGCTGCACAGAGTCGGACCCAACTGAAGCGACTTAGCAGCAGCAGCAGCATCTCACGTGGTCTAATGCACTTGATTTGAGGCCCACAAATCATGAAGAGCAGTCCATTCCAACAGAACATTTGTGGTGAAAGAATTGTTTTATGTCTATGCTGTCCAGTTAGGTAGCCAGTAGCTACATGAGGCTACTTAGCACCTTAAAGTGTCTGTTGTGCTGAGTACATTTATTTATTTTAATTTAAATAGTAATATGTGGCTACTAGCTAGCATATTGGTCAGTGCATATCTAGAATGTTGTTAATTAATCTGCTGTCTCTTTCCCTAAAAGATACTCTGTGATTCATAGGTTGATACATACTAAAATAATCTTAATATTGAGGTCATGGATTTGTCTGTGCAGGTCTTAGATATATCTTCAAAATACAGCATGTTCTGAAAGTTTCTTTAATGTGTATTTTAACAGATAGAGTGTTCAGACATTAGCTAAACCAAAGTTTATCACGTTAAGGTCATAAGTGTTCAAAACTGCCCATCACTGCTAGTTGTCCGATAATGATAAATGGATATAATCCTTGATCTCTTGGTGTTTTCTTAACCTGGTAAACACAAGGACACACAGAAGTTATCAGCTGAACACAACAGATATCAGTACTTCATAGGACTTGTACATACTTGTAAAGTTATGAAGCAAAAGATGTAACATTAGACTCCACCACCTTATTACTTTTTACTTACTGCTCCTGCTATACTTTCTCTCCAAATTCAATCAGTTCTGTTTCCCTTCACCCTTGGACACCTCTCTCCTAGACAAAAATAAACGTGAAGTTTTTACTCCTGTGGAATGAAGCATTTTATGACCCAAAGATGAAAAGCCATGAAAACACATAAATCTTCCCATGTCAAGCAGACACTCACAAGATACAATCATATACCCCTATTCTGATGGAAAGACACATCAACATTTTTGGCAAACAGGTAACATGTCTCAATGTTCTTTAGTCAAAGACCAACAGGAGCAAAGCTGTGAGCAATCAAGTTGGATTTATACTGAATACAGCAAGGGAGATCACACAGCATCGGGGACCATGGCATCTCTTGTGATGTGTTAGAACATACACAGCAGAGGGTCCCCCAAGCTCTGGGCTTGGGCTGTTATCTCCTGTCAGATCAGTGCCAACATTAGATTAGAAATAAAATGTACAATAAATGTAATGTGCTTGAGTCATCCTGAAACTATTCCCCCCTCCCCTGGTCTGTGGACAAATTGTCTTCCATGAAATCAATTCCTGGTGCCAAA